TTTCAGGTCAGAAAAAGCTCCCGATGGAGCCATCTTTCCTTCCCATCAGGATATCGTGCAGTGGTGTCTTTAATATTGGCGCCTTCAGAAACTGCCAGCTCTCCCAAACTCCTCTTTCCCTTAGATTTTCTTCCCATGGGACCTTACCTACCTGTTCTCTGAGTGTGTTAAAGTCTGCTTTTTTGACATCCACTGTCCTTGTTCTGCTGATCTCATGCCTTCCTTTCTATCTATCATTTCATGATCATCCTCATCCAACTTGTCTTCTATCTTCAGAGTCACTGCCAATTCCCCCCTGTTAGTCAGAATCAAGCCTAAAATGGCTGTTACTTCCTCCACTTTCTGGAACAAAAAGCTGTCTCCAGTGCATTCCAGGAACTTATTGGAAATTTTGTGTTTTGCCATATTACTTTTCCTACAGAGGCCTGGGTAGCTAGAGTCCCCCATTACTACTAGGTCATGTGTTTTGGATATTTCTGTTATTCACTCTAGATATGCCTCATCTCCCTCCTTGTCCTGACTTGGTCTAGGGTAGACCTCGGCCATGACCTGCCCTTTGCTGCTTCCTGCCTTGGCTTGTCTGCAGACGCTTCTCCTAGGACTACATCTTCAGGCCTCTCTTTCTCTCAGGAAGTCTGACTCCTTTTGTGGCTTCTTCCAAATCTGCTCCTGCCTCTTCTTGGCAATTCCCAGCCTCTCTGGCAGCTACCCTGAACCGCTTCATCCCTGCTCCCTTCAGGACCAGGATAGAGATTTCCTGTTGTAGCTCTCCTCTCTTGCTGGTTCTGCAGTCCTTGATAGGAACCACCCAGCCTGTTCTCCCCAGCTGGGTCTAATCTTTAACTACTTGTCTCCCCTCCAGCTGCCACAGAATGCACTAATTGGGCTCTCTAGTTCCCCGTAGCCCTGACACTGCCAGTGTGGGGTTTATAACACTCCATCACAGCTGGGTATTATTATTAACCTCTGCCACTGACCTGCTGCATGGCCTTGGGAAAGTCATTTCACCTCCCTGGACCACCCTGTCTACTTAGACTTTGGGGACAGGGGCTATGCTTGTGCAATGCTCAGTACAAAGAGGCCATGATTTCTCCCCGGATCTAGAGGCTCTATTGCAATACAAATAACAATAAGGGAAGTTTCTAAAGGTGAGACCATAGCTCTCTGGCCATTAATCTGTCTGGAACCAAAATCCCAACCCAAACCCTGCCAAGATTCATAGACTTTAAGGCCAGAAGGAACCATTCTTATCCTCTCGTCTGAGCACAGACCAGAGTTTCACGCACAAAAACCTGCTGTGGAGAGAATTATTCTTCCTTGCTATGCATTTACAAGGGACGAAGGCCGTGGCAGTGCCAGATTTCACAACCAGGGTTGGTTGTGGGGGCAGTGGCCAGCACCAGATGCTCCAGAAGAAGGTGCAAGAACCCTACAGAAGACAGCGATGGGATAGCTTGTTCCCAGGATAAGTTCCTTCCTGACCTCCTGTCAGTTAGAGGTCAGTTCATGCTCTGAAAATTGAGAGTTTATATCCTGTCCCAAACCCTTTATTTATTTATTTTTGGAGTTACTATTATAACTCCGGATATTCTTGCTATTCAAACACATGCCTAATCACTTCTGGAATCCTGCTAACCTCTTAGCGTCAATGACAACTTGTGGCAATGGGTTCCGCAGGATAACTATGAGTTATTTCATCCTAGAGGAAAGTTATGAGATAGACTCTTATCTTGGCCTCTCAGAAACCAGTTGCCTGTAATGCATTACATTACAAAGACATCTTTTGTTTCAACTCCCCTTCTCTCTCCTCCTGGATCCACCTGGGCACAGAGATCTCTGCCTGCATTCCTGACAGCATAGTCACCTTGTTTGGTTGGTGTCTGATCTGTTCTGGTTTCTCACTTGCCCTGGAAAACACCACCCACCACCTCTCCTTCTCCTCTCTGTGATCTCATTGTCTTGGGCACAACACGGCGTGCTCAGAACAGGCGCCACTTTGGCAGTGGAAGAGGACCCCCTTGTTTTCAATGGTTTTGGATACATGTTGCCTTTATAACTCTCTCCCTAGCTCTCGCCTTCCTGAGCATTCACCAGCAGGGGACATACTGCTGTCTTCTTCTTGGTTACACCTGCAGGGCACCCGGCCATTGGGATGGTCTCTTGGTTCTTGTCCTATCAGTGGACATTCCATGGAGCTCTGATAGCAATTTAGCTTGAAGCCAGGCCCTTCCCCACAGGGTTGTGTGGGTACCTCTCACAGCCTCTCCATGGCTTCATTGTTCAAGTCCTCAGGGCCAGAAAATTGTTCGTGGGGGGGCCAGGCCGCTGCATCTCCCTATGCAGGTGCCACACAGCAGCCTCATTGTATGTCTCCAGGCTTGGTAAACAACATTTCCCCAGAAGACAGTTGCAGCTACTGACTGGGTCACAGGCACTGGAGTGTGTCTGTGAGAACACCCACCTCCCTGCCCCCAGAGACAGCACACACTGCAAGTTGGGCCAGAGATCTGCAAAGGCTTCCACTCTCTCACACTTCTCGGGGACCGGGTCAGCAGGGGCAGCGGAGATGCTGACTTGCTGGTGGACTTCATCCAGTTCTTTCTGGTGTTTCCTCCCACCTGCATGCTGCATCCTTCCTTTTACTGGCTGCCTCCTCTTCAAGCACTGACCAGGCTGAAAACTGCTCAGTGTTTTTTATTTGAGCCTGCGTCTGCAACACGCAAGAAGACAAGCTATTATATTACCAGGCCAGATAATATCCCTGGTTTGACGGCATTCTGCACTAAATCAATAGGCTCTGCAGTTCCTCCTTCTGTGGTGCCCCCATGGTGGGAGAGATTTGCACTCGATTCTACCTGCTTGTGCTCATTCGAACCAGCGTAGCTACAGGCCAGGGCATAAGAGTCCTTGCAGAATTCAACTGGACATGAGCTTTGCCAGGTTTGGGGCCGGCTTCTCTGCAAACCTGGATCTCAAGGTATGTCTACACTGTAATCCGGGGATGTGACTGCAGCTCATGGCCAAGCTAGCTGTAATCTAGCTAGTTTGGGTACTGAAGCAGTGAAGCTGTGGCATAGACTATCAGGGTTGGAAGGGACCTCAGGAGGTATCTAGTCCAACCCCCTGCTCAAAGCAGGACCAATCCCCAAACAGATTTTTACCCCAGTTCCCTAAATAGCCCCCTCAAGGATTGAACTCACAACCCTGGGTTTAGTAGGCCAATGCTCAAACCACTGCGCTATCCCTCCCCCCAAAACCCACCTGGAATCCTGGGTAATTACTGGGGTGGCCATCGGTGCTGGAACTAGGGGTGCGACAGCACCCCCTGGATTGAAATGATTTCCATCATCTACAAGATCTGCAGTTTGGTTCAATGGCTCCCAGCACCCCCACTATACAAATTCTTCCAGCCCCCCCGGGGATGGCTAGATTGCACAGAAGCCCAAGCTCTCATGGCTTTACTAGTCCAGTCCTGGAGCTACCTCGGATAAAGCTAGCCCATAGCTCCGTGACTGCAGTGTACGTGTACCCTCAGTTACACTAAGGCCTCTTTGTCACAGTGGCGGGAAATACTCCCCCGTGCAAGGGGACAACCTGCCCACTACAGAGCCGGTGTCAGAGCCCATCTCTGACCCTACGCCCCACCCTGACAGTAGTGATGGATCAGGGAATGGCTGGAGTTGCTATTCCATAGAGCTCACTGGGAATTTTTCAACAAAATGTTGTTTTTTCCATTGAAAAATACTGATCCAGCAAAACCAATGATCAGTTTTGACCAATTTCCTGTATAAAAACATTTGGGAAAACAAAACGTTTCAACAAAAGGAATTGTTGAAAAATCCTCAACCAGAGAGAGAAATTCCCGATTCTCGCTTTGATCTGAAAAGCGTGTTTTTCTCTCTGCTGGACAATAACCTGATCTCAACACAGGTGTCGTGTTCGCTTTTATCTCACAAGTTCAAGATTTCTACTAAATAAAATGTTGAAAGTAAAAGAGCGGTATTTAGGTTAAATGCCTCATTTCCAGCACTCCTGGGATTACTCAGACTGCAGTGATGTTTATGATCCTTTTGCATTTTCATGAGCTCCTTCACACGCAGATCAACCAATTACGAATGAACGCTGCTGCTCTTGTTTTGACGGAGATAAAGAAAAGAGGCTGCAGCCCTCTGCTACAGCAAGCCACACAATGAAAATGTATAAAGAAACACACACACACGCATGCCTCAATCAATCCAAACCAGAAAAGCCCAGAAGGACCTAATTTAACCTGTTTGCAGTGTTGTCGTAGCCACAAGAGAAACAAGGTGGGAGAGGTAGTATTCTTTTCTGGATCATCTTCTGTTGGTGAAAGAGACAAGCTTGAAATATATTACCTTGTCCACCTTAACGAGGAGTCCAGTGGCACCTTAAAGACTAACAGATTTATTTGGGCATAAGCTTTCGTGGGTAAAAAACCCACTTCTTCAGATGCATGAAGAATGACTCCGTGCATTGGAAGAAGTAGGTTTTTTACCCACAAAAGCTTATGCCCAACTAAATCTGTTAGTCTTTAAGGTGCCACCGGACTCCTCCTTGTTTTTGTGGATACAGACTAACACAGCTACCACTCTGATACTTGTCCACCTTGTCTCTCTAATTTCACCTGGTCAGTTTCAGCTCAGTCTATATGGGAGTGACTGCTGAAGCTAACAAAGTTGTCCCTGCTTAAACCAGGTCTCAATTTGGCTTCTGAGTCTCATTCTTTAAGAACATAAGAGCGGCCATACTGGGTCAGACCAAAGGTCCAGCTAGCCTAGTATCCTGTCTTCCAACAGTGGCCAATGCCAGGCGCCGCAGAGGGAATGAACAGAACAGGTAATCACCAAGTGATCCATCCCTTGTCGCCCACTCCTAGCTTCTGGCAAACAGAGGCTAGGGACACCAGCCCTGCCCATCCTGGCTAATAGCTATTGATGGACCCATCCTCCATGAACTTATCTCGTTCTTTTTTGAACCCTGTTATAGTCTTGGCCTTCACAGAATCCTCTGACAAGGAGTTCCACAGGTTGACTGTGTGTTGTGTGAAAATGACAATGAATTCTTTGATGGTGCAAATAAATCAAACCATGAAAAACTTGTCTCTAGCAGCTCAGTGCTGTGAGCCACACCTAGACAGTCCCAGCACTTCACCCTTGGGTGCTCAGATTAGACTGTGAATCCTTTGGGTCATTATTCTCCTTCAAATCCCTCCTTAAAACTCCTTTTCCACGGTGCCTACAAAAAACTGGACAACAGTTAGACTGCAGGCATGTGGAGATCACTGCCCGTCCTACCAACCAACACTGTCTCCTTGTTTCTTTGTATTCCTCCTGTCTGTGTTCACCTGTTGTCTCTTGTCTTCTACGTAGATTGTAAACTCTTTAAGGCAAGGGCCATCCTTTCGTTCTGTGTTTGAAGAGCACCTAGGACAAGGAGTCCTGGTCCAGGACTAGCTCCTAGATGTTCCTGCTATATAAAATATAAATAAAGAATAGCAGCGTTTCCCACTGTGAGTTTGTACAGTGCCTAGCACGATGGGGGAACCATGATCTCAGCTGTGTCTTGTAACCCAAAGAAATAAAAATGTCAGTGGTGAATCCATGAAGGGGCAATGCAAAGGAAGGCAGCCGAGTTTTGTTCTGGGCTAAATTAACCCAAACAGCCCCTGTCTGGAACATGTCTCAGCCACGCAGATGCATCACTTACACCAGCCTGTGTGTGATTAACCCCCTCAGCCTGCAGGGGAAGAGCGCAGCTAGCCACTCCGCCTTTGATCTGAGGCAAGGAGATTGGTGAAACTGAAGCGTATTTATTTTGGCATAGCTCAAAGGGAGGAGGGGGAGGAGGCAGTGGGGGTGGGTGGAAAGTCAACTCTTCTAGCAAGCACGTTATACAACTCACCCCAATGGACCCTGAGCAACGCCTGTGAAAGGACAAGATCTCTCTCTCTCACACACACACACACCCCTCCTATTAGAAGAAAGGTTTGTTCCAGTGAATTCCCCTTTAACCAAAGGGAGGCAGTGTGGCCTAATGGATAGAGCACAGGCCTGGGACACAGGATTTCTATTCCTACCTCTGCTGGTGGGCTGCTGTGTGGCCTTGGGAAAGTCTCTTCATGCCCCCATGCCTGGATGTGCCATTGCTATGAGACTCCCTATGGCTAACACGGTAATATCACTCCTGCTGGGGAAACTCCTTTGAAAAGGGAATTGAGTGATGAGAACACACGAGCCCCATAGAGCCCAGGTGGGATTTCAGCTTCATAGAGCTGGAGTTTATGACAAACAAAATACTCACTGACATCTAGAACTACTGGCTGCCTCTCCATGGCCAGTAAGGCTTTCTGGTAAGGCAACTCCGTCAGGGAGCCCAGTGCCACTTTGCTGATGAAATATAGTTCAGGACTCCTCTGTCTATCCTTGAACAATCAGGAAATCTCCAGGGATGTTAAACATAGGGCACTGTTCCCTTCCGATCCTAGATCCCAGACCGGGGAAGAAGAGATCCTGAAACCCACCCAAAAGATTCTGAGAGCTGGAATGCTTGCTGTCTATCCATCCCCAATAATGAAGGATGATCAAAGCGATGGGTGTGAGCCAGAACGCTGAATCCAAACCCTGGGTTCTGATCGGAGGCTGCAGCTCAGATCCCTCTAATGGCTAAATGTCAACACTCCAAGTTTTGGGAAAGTTTAGTTGCAAATTTCAAACCCACATACAGAGAAATGTGTCAAACCCGGGAATTACTTTTGGCTTGTTATTATGGAGGCGTAGGTAGCAAGTCCATGGTTAAGGTTGTGTTGAGAAAAAACAGCTAAAGTAGGATTTTGCTGCAGTTTGTAGGGATATGAAGTTGGGATCCAGGCTTATTTTTGGAGTTCAGGGTCCTATTTGGATTGGTATCTGACAGCCTCTGTCTGCTTATCGGAAGCTGGAATATCCCAGTTTTGTTTGTTGTGTTGTTGTAGCCATGTTAGTCCTCTCTGAATACCCCAGAATAGACTCACACGAGCATCCTCGTCTCCACCAAAGACACAAGGAGAACATCAATCTTGGTCAATGTTGGAACTTCTAGAGCTCATCCCTGCCAGAATCCAGAGTGCACAGACTGCAGGAAAAGAAAGAAAGAAAGAAAGAAAGAAGTATATTTCAGAGCTCTCCAAAACATCTGAGTTCTAAGGATGGGCCCAAGACTGAAGGTGGGTTCTTGACTCCCATCCTCCTGACCCCAAAACTGTCCCTCCCTATGACCCATTCCCAATAGTGACAAAAGGGGTAGAAAGATCCTTACCTAACAATCTGAGGAAGCTGGGATTTCTTTTGCCAAGTATGATGGTTTAATCAGACAGTCAGCATCTCTGATTGCTTTGTGATGAAAAATTAGGTTTCTGACAGAAATTTTTTCCCCCCCCACAAAAGATGACTACTCTATGCAGAAAAATTTTGATTTTTCATACGCCTGAAAACCAAATTATTTTGGCCAAACCCTGAAAACTGTCAATATTCAAATTTCTGGCCAAAAAAAAAAAATCAACGTTTTCCAAGAAAAAAAACACCATTTTTGCAACCAACTCTATACGGGGCGTTTTGCAGCCACCAGACGATGCCCTTTCATAAAAGTTTCATGAGAATGATGAATCCTCAATGAAATCACAGGATCACACGGGAGGGAAAGGGAGGACAGACGTAGTGTTCGAGCCGCCCTCCCACCTCTGCCTCGCGGTGGGCTCTAAAATCATTCATTTCGCCAGCAAACTCCAGCTGACTCTCCGAAAGTATCCCAGGATTGTTCCCGTTCCACAGAAGTCCTGCACGACGATGACTCATTTCTCCATGAGTCTAAATCAGCTCCTGTCTCCCGAGACGACACTGTTTATGAGCAGGGATGGAGCAAAGTAGTCGGAATAATTTAATTTACCCTCTCCCAGGCCCATTATAAGCCCTTGCCCGTTTCCAGAATGGAGCTGTATGATTCCACAATGGTTAGACATCCTCTTATTTTAAACATGCTTCCAGTTTCCATCCAGGACCAGCAGGAAACATGCTGAAAACCCGTGAGAAAACGTCTTCATAATAATATAATAATAATGGAGATATCCTATCTCCTAGAACTGGAAGGGACCTTGAAAGGTCATCGAGTCCAGCCCCCTGCCTTCACTAGCAGGACCAAGTACTGATTTTGCCCCAGATTCCCAAGTGGCCCCCTCAAGGATTGAACTCACAACCCTGGGTTTAGCAGGCCAATGCTCAAACCACTGAGCTATCCCTCCCCCCAGTCTTCATGTGGTTATTGCGGGCCCTACGCAGAAACAGAAGTGGCAGGATTCTCCTGGGATGAGTCGGTTAGAGAGCTCTCCTGCCTCCCCTTGCCAGCTGGAGAGGGCTGGATTGGTCAAATGAGCTTATGGATACTCCAGGTGAACAGTAAACCTTCAACTGAACTGTGACATGTGGACGAGATCTGAATGTTACTGTACTCGTCAGCCACATGTCCAAGGCCGTCTCGTTAGTATCCAGGGCAAGGGAGGACCCACCAATCACTGACCCATCCGCTCCTACTATCTGAAACTTGAAGGATCTTCATTTCCCTAGAGGGACAAACTGGTCAAGTCCTCAAGGTGATCAAGTCAGCATTGGACCGGCGAACGGATGATGGGAGGTAGGAAGGGTGGGACTGGAGGAAGAAGTGCTGCTGCTTTGGGTCCATTTTTACATTTTGTCTCCTAAGTTCTTGTGTATCAAGGGCATCCACAGCTTTAGAGGGGCGCCCATGAGAGCAGAGGTGGTGTACGATTGAAACGGAAATCAATCGATTCCTGACAAGAGCTGCTTGCAGCATGGGCAGCAACTCCACGGACTCCTTCTCCCCACGCTAACGGGTGGCGGTGGTGGGGTAGAAGATGAGTATTCTGAGTATGTACTATCTCCGTGTCCACTTCCTTCCTTCTCACTACCCTGATCTTCAAGAGCCAGCACTCAAATTCCTCCCTGTATGTTCATTTCCTAAAGAGGATGATGGTGACACTGGATATTTGCCCAGTGGGCATCTCTCCAGGACTTGGGCTCTTCTCAGCCTTCTGCCACCAGCTCCAACCTCCTAACCCTCTGCTACCCCTCCCCACTTAATGACTTTAGAGGAAGAAGACCTCAAATCTTCACCCTTCCCCTCAACCCCCCACCCTCAGATCATCTTGTCCAATCCCCTGCATCAAACAGACTGGGGAGATGAACATACTGCTATGCTGGTTGCCCTAGAAATACACGACAAAGAGAGGCAAAGATCTTGTGGACAGGACCAAGGGCCCAATATTGTGCCTTGAGCAACAGAACTGCCAACCCTCTTGGCATTTCTCATTCAAAACAATGTGTCATTTCGGTAGCAGAGGAAGGCCCAGCCTTAAACGACTTGTCATTTGCTCCACTGCTGGAGGCAAAGGTGTAACCACTGCCCCGCCATCCACCCCGCTGCTTCCTGTTTTCCCTAACACCAGTGCACCTGGTGAACACCCTTGCTCATGACTGGTGCTTTCTGGCTTCCCTTGCACCAAGGTGCGTGGTTTATTTGAAACAGGTCACCCGGACACGATGCCGGATCAAAGCAAGAAGAATCCTATGCCGATGACATACCATTTCTGCTCAGTTGACTGTAGCTTTCTACTAGCTACAGCCCAACACAACCAATGCCTAGGTCAAGTTGTATTTTTAGAGCTAGTCTCCCCGGGACAACGTCACGGAGCATGGTAGGAAAGCAAACTGAGCTGCTGCCGAATAAAAATAAGGAGTTGGACTGAGGGTTTAATAATAACCACTGCCACCCCCAGAATCCAAACCTTTGCCCAACTCAGCGAGTCACTTTACCCAATGGTGCTGAGACGTTCCTTAAGGTCCCTGCCATTTGTACAACTTTCCGGGTGTATTTCTATGGGCATGGGCCAAAACAGAAGGGGCAGCACAGGCCAGTCGATGAGGCACTGGGCTGGGAGTCCGGAGACCTGGGCTCTATTCATGGCTCTCCCACCGTGTGACCGTGCGTAAATCATTTGCCTTCTCTATTCAGATGGCAAGCTCCCACTGTATGCCCGTAGAGCACCAAGCTCAATGGGGCTTCTAGGTACTACAGTAACAGCAATGAGACGTGAACTAGCCCAGGGCTCTAAATTCACCTGTCACTAACTTCCTTGTGTGACCCTCTCCTTCGTCTGAAAATTGTGGGACAAGTTATGAACAAAAGAGACAAAACCCATCAGACCCTCCGTAACTTGGAACCGCTCATCCAGGCTCCTCTAATTTTACTTTTTCCCTACATAGCCGTAGTACTTACTTTAATTACTTGACTTTCCACAGTCATGTTCCTGCAGCCTGTAAAGACAAGCAGGGCTCGGGGCTCCAGTCAGCAGTCCCTAGGGATTTAAAATGTGCTGTCAAAATCACTTCAGACAAGGAAGGCCAGCACTCTCGAGACATAAGCTATTGCCTGGTTTTCTCTTCTCTGCTAGACGCACTGATTCTAAGGCCAGAAGGAACCATCAGATCGTGTTGTCTGACCTCCTGCATAACACTGGTCATTGCATATCACCTGGTTACTGAATTGAGCCCAATAACGTGTTTATCTAAAGCCACCAGTCTCAACGCGAGATGGAGAATCCACCGCTTCCCTCAGGAATTTGTTCCAGTGGCTAAATTATCCTCACTGTTAAACTGCGTATGCCTTATTTCCAACTGGACTGGTCTAGCTTCAGCTTCCAGACATTGGTTTCTGTTCCGTCTGTCTCCCCGCATTTAAAGAGTCCTTTACTAGCTGGTATTTTCTCACACACAGCAACCAAGTCACCTTTTAATCTTCTGCTTAACAAGCGAAACAGATTTAGATTGTAAGTTCTCTGCAGCGGGGACCATCTTTTTGTTCTGGGTTTGTCCAGCACCTGGCACAAAGGGGCCCTGGTCCATGATTGGAGTTCCTGTGTGCTATGGAATACAATGATAGTACTAGAGTTCTTGAAGTCTCGCACTGTAAACTTTAGGAATACATCCATTTCCCAGATATCTTGTTAGGTAACTGAAAGGGTAAAGACCTCCTGCCTGGAGAGAGAAGGAAATTAGGTACATGCCAAGGAAAGAGAGAAGCTGAGTATTTCAGACTGGACCAGATTCAGTGAGGACCTAGCAAAGGTAAAGTTATATGAAAGTGATAAAGCAACGTAGCTTGCATCTGACATTCACTATGGGTGCAAAATAAAGAGAGACTTATTAGTTGTATTACAGTGCTGTCCAGAGGCCCCAGCTGAGATCGGGGCCCAGCGTGCTTGGTGCTGTACAAACACATAGTGAGAGACACTGTATGCCCTGAAGAGCTAGCAATCTAAACAGACAAAGGGTGAGAGGGGAAGTGACTTGCCCAAGGTCACACATCAGGTCAGTGGCGGAGTTGGGAATGGAAGTCAGGTCTGGTGAGTCCCATTCCAATGCCCTACCCACTAGGCCACTCTGCCTCTCATTAGACATTAAGCAGGCGGAAAGTTGGTGAGGGATACAGTAGAAAAAGCAGCTAACAGGTGAGGCAGGGGGTGCTTTTTTTATTAAAACCCTCCTGTTTCTTTCTACATCTCTTCTCCCCACTCAGTGGGTCAGCTACACTTGTTTAGCTCAGCTGATGCTGTTCACACCTGCGATAAAGCAATGTAACTTGCATTGCTGTCGGCCACACATCCCCGAGACCTCCGCACACCAAGACTGAGACTGGCCCATTAACATTTCTGCCACCGGGGCCTGCTCAGGTGAATAAGATGAGCAGGAGCTGATGCATCAGACCCTGATCTCAGAGACACAGGTGAAAATCTGGAGTAACTACCTTGGCTTTCCAATGAGACTAAGGCAGGGCTTGGTTTAAATATTAAGAGCTCCATGGCACTGGTTGATGGCACTGGTTTGGCATGAGATCCTCCTCTTTCTAGCTCGGCTTGTGGCATCAGAGTTATTTAGACATATTAGAGATTGGGCAACCCTATTCGTCCATCTCATTGTGAGGAGGTGGGAAGGGGTGTTCCTGAACCCAGAGGAAGCTGTCTTACTACTTCCCCTGGGTAGCTTGTGCCTATCAAGTCATTGCTCTGAGTCTGCTATGCCTGCTCCTCCCAGGAGAAGAATGCCCTTGGGAGCGACCGATGGAAGTCATTTTGCAAAGTAATGCACATTGGAAAGCATAATCCCAACTAGACATATAAAATGATGGGGTCTAAATTAGCTCCAGAAAGAGATCTTGGAGTCACTGTGGATAGTTCTCTGAAAATATCCACTCAGTGTGGAGTGGCAGTCAAAGAAGCGAACAGAATGTTGGGAATCGTTAGGAAAGGGATAGATAATCAGACAGAAAATATCATATTGCCTCTATATAAATCCATGGTACACCCACATCTTGAATACTGCATGCAGATGTGGTCACCTCATCTCAAAAAAGATCTATTGGAATTGGAAAAGGTTCAGAAAAGGGCAACAAAAATGATTAGGGGGATGGACCGGTTGCCGTATGAAAAGAGATGAATAAGACTGGAGCTTTTCAGCTTGGAAAAGAGATGACTAAGGGGCGATACGACAGAGGTCTATAAAATCATGACTGGTGTGGAAGAAGTAGATAAGGAAGTGTTGTTTACTCCTTCTCATAACACAAGAACTAGGAGGCACCCACTGAAATTAATAGGCAGCAGGTTTAAAACAAACAAAAGGAAGTATTTCTTCACACAACGTACAATCAACCTGTGGAACTCTTTGCCAGAGGATATTGTGAAGGCCAAGACTATAACAGGGTTCAAAAAAGAACTAGATAAGTTCCTGGAGGATGGGTCCATCAATGACTATTAGCCGGGGGGGGGCGGCAGGAATAGTGTCCCTAGCCTCTCTTTGCCAGAAGCTGGGAATGGGCGACAGGGGATGGATCACTTGATGATTCCCTGTTCTGTTCATTCCCTCTGAAGCACAGAATACTGAGGTAGATGGACCTCTGGTCTGACCCAGTATGGCCATTCTTATGTTCTTATTTTGAGCCATTCTGCCCTGTGCAGAAAAAAAAGTCTGGCCTACATTTCTGGAGAGCGACCAATCCAAGGGCAAGCGCATTCCAATGCCCCAAGTCACCGGCAGCTCACACAGTCCCACTTGGAAGAGTGCATTCTCCTGGGGTGCGTGTATGTGTTGGAGGGCACATTCCAGCATATTTGGATCCTACAGAGTCCTCCTCTATATGGGCGTGTGACACACAGCACTCACCCGCAGTCACATCTTTATAATAATGAAGGAAACTAGGCAGGAAAGCACAGAAGAGCAAGGTCCTACTGTCGGCTCTGCCACAGAATTCCTGTCGGACCTTGGGCAAGTCACTTAAAACCCCCAAAACTCTGCATGCCTCAGTTTCCCCATCTGTAAAATGAGGATGACAATATTTACTCACAGGGGTGCTGAGCTGTTGAAAATTATGTGGAGAGAAGGTGCCAGGAAATGCAAAGCCAAAATCTCCATTTCATAACGAGCACCATCTAGTTTAACAGAAAATCTGCATAATGGGCTTCAGGAGAGGTGGAAGACAGTGCTTTGGAGCCAGCAACCAGGGATTCCTAATGGAAGTGCACCAGTAGGAACATGCATATCTGGGGCCAATCCTGGTCTCATCCCAAATTTGGTACAGTTCCATTGCTTTTGGCAGAGTTACTCGAGATTGACAGCAGTGTGAGAGAGCACAGGTTGTTTATTTTCATGTAATCTACTACTTCCTTTTGTTAGTAACTCTGCACTTCGCTCGTCTATAGAGGGATCACAGCACTCTTAGCAAACATTTGTGTGCTGACAGACACACTTATCCAGCTCTGCACAGACACATCCAGGTGACCTAGAAATGCAAAGCACTGACACGGGCCAGCTCTGAAACTCACAACTAGCCTGCCAGCCCATCCCAGTAACCTAATGGTCACCCATTACTTGTCTTTCCAGCTGGGCCTCTTTGTATTTTGCATGGCCTCATGGTCCGGAGTTTTCACAGGAGTTCAATTCCTATTAGGCAGTGAACGGAGTGCATGTTGAAAAACCTGGGCATCAGGGTTACAGTGGGAACTGCTGGGGACCTGAGCACTTTGGAAAGTGGGGGTCCAGTTGTGGCGGCTGCTCACCCTGGAAAATCCAGCCCTGATCTCTTTTGAAAATCTGGTCCGCAAGACAAAAATTACTTCACTTCCTTTTAGTGCTCTGTCTGGCCAGGGCCAGTCTGCCCCTGCCTCGCCCAGACAGAATTAAGCCATCAAAGCTGATGTTAAAAAAAAAAAGAATTTCTAGGCTGACAGCGTGCAAATGACACTGGTGGGTGATTGACAAATGTTCCAGTGGACAGACCAGGCAGCCTTAGCTCTAATTACAGACTGTCCCTCTGGCAGGACCTGTCAGATGACTCTCACTCCCATCTCATCCTGCAAAGTGTCTCCTTGTCTTTCCTTTTGCACCTCTGTGCGGCGGCTCCTTCATCAAAGCTCTGAGTCATTCTTCATCGGGTAGGAGTCTGGCGAAAGAAACCTCTCCGTCCACCTGCCACGCTTGTCATGCACTCCCTCTTGAGTTGGCAGGGAGACAGTTTGCATCCTGGAACATGTTAGAGATCAATAGATCTCCTCCATTCTCCTGGGAAGAAAAGATGAGTGATATGAGCCTGTGACTAGTGATAGAGTCATCAAAGGAGTTTAGCACCTGAAATTATTCAGCGCGCATGCAAAGCAGGGGCAGGACGGGTCAATATTGGAATGGAAATCTCCAAGCAGCATCTTGGTGATTCAGTAGACGGCCCCCTTCTTTTCATGGGGTGGGTCAACTCGTGACACAGAGCTCAGATTTTAAGTTTTGTGCAAGGCATGACCGTGACCTTGACACTTGCGGCTAACAACTCACCAAAGTGTTTTTCATGCTCCAGACTCTTCCTGCTAAGGATTCTGGGAGATGTAGTCCAAACAGGCAATTGATGGATGAGGAAGGATTACTAAGGAGTGCTCAAAACACTAAGAGCCATTTCCTACTCTTTGCTACATCAGTATAAAGTAAAAGGAACTCCACTGAAGTGAATGGATTTACACTGGTGAAACCGTGAGCAGAACTCGACCCAGTGTACACATATGACCACATTACACAGTCTACAGCATTTTTCAGATAGTCCCAGGACAGGTGGTGAGCGGCCCTCCTTTCTATGCCTCGGGACCAACCGCGCCTGCAGCAAGACACAGTTCTGGGAAGTGGGAACCTCTTTGTTTCTCTACCTTTCTGATAAATTGGAGGGCACTCAGAGAAGAGCAACCAGATGATTTTGTGGTGAAGGCACTGGCCTACGACTCAGGAAATTGGGGTTCAATTCTGGGGTTTTCCACAGGCTACTTGT